AAGAGGCCCCAAAGACGGCCCCGAGAGGCCACCAACGCGGCCCAAGACAGCCCGAGGGGCGGCCAAGGCGTGGCCAGAGGGCCCCATGAGGTTCCCAAAGCGTTCCATGGCGGCCCCGGAGCGCTCAAAGCTAGCCCTTGGACGCCCACGACGGTTCTCATAGTGCCCAAGAGACCGCGAAGACGCCCCAACAGGCCCCCAAGATGCTTTCCAAGAGGGTCCCAAGAGGCCAAAAACATTGATTTTGCATCGGACAGCGTATATTGTTAGAATCTACGACTTGTCGGTCTTCACAGCGGAGACGACAGTACAAGAGGCCCCCAAGAGAGTCCCAAAACGGCCCAAGAGGCTCCAAAGACGTCCCGAGAGGGGGCCAAAACACCCCAAAAGGTCCCAATACGACTTAGGAGAGCTCCAAGACGGCTCCAAGAGGAGCACAAGAGGGGGAGCCCGAACCGAAAATCCGACCCTTCCGCCCCAAGAAGGTCCCAGCAATCGAGGATCGAGATTCGACGAGGTCTTTCGGTTTTCGGCCCCTGGGGGTCCTTTTGGGCGGACTTTACTCGATCAGAGAGCAGCGCGAACGCCGAGGACGCTAAGCAGCGCGAGCGCCAAGGACGAGCTCGGTTATGTTTGTTCGAGTCTTCCGTCGACATTTTTTTTCGGGCGCGTTTCGACAACGTTTGACTCGATGTGTCCTTGACCCCGGCTAGAACCAAAGGGCGCGCGGAGCGCGCGCGATGGTTCTAGTGTATGTATGTATGTATGTATGTATATGTATGTATGTATGTGTGTATGTATGTACGTATGTATATGTATGTATGTATATGTATGTGTGTATATGTATGTATGTATGTATGTATGTATGTATGTATGTATGTATGTATATATACACATATACATATATACATAAACACATACATGACTGCATATGTGGATGTACCTCTCGCTGTTGCTCGATTTGTGCCTACATATGTTGATGTCGGCGGATTGACACATGCGAAGCCGCACGTGTTTTATGTAGTCATATAGAGATGGGCTCGCGCACGCAATGGCGTATGGTTTTATACATGTACAGTGCGCTTCGCTTTGGCACAATGCATTGGCGCTTCGCACAAATCATTTTGGTCAGTCAGTTTCGGCTTACGTGCGGAATTGGAGAGAGGTAAAAAGTAACAACACTTGATGCCGCGATCGTCGTTTTAATATTGGGGGCACTCTTTTTCTCCCATGTCCCTTTCCTTTCCCTTGTTTTCGCCTTGCTGTGCGAGCCCGCCCTCGTTCTCCATGCCTTTTTTTTCAAGAGGTTCCTCCTTGGAAACATTCGGGGGGCCGCGCGCAGAATTATTTGAGGCTTTGCGGCGGCCTCTTTCAGCCTTTTTGGGCGCCTTTGGGGAGGGAGCCTCTGCTGCGAACCACGGCCTCACTCAACGGGCGGGTCACGATTCAGAGTGTTTCGGGGGCTTTCTTTCGGCCGTTTTGGGCCCCTGCATGCGAGCATTTCCAAATTCATACAAGAATCATCGATGAACTGCGAGGTTTGCATCTTGATGACCTTGTGGGGATGTTGCTTAGGCCGTCTTCGTGCGTTTGGTGGGTGCATATGGCCGGTTGGACTGTCGCGGGGCCGTGTTGCCACCCTCCTGACTGCGTTTGGCCAGCTGGCTAGGCCCAGCGGGGATGTCCAGAGGGGCTGGACGTCCCGAGGGGCCCTCTGCAAGGGCGTCTCGGGGGCTTATAGGACGATCAACGGAGAGGAAGCATGCCAAATAGTTTTCAGATGCCGAACAGATGTTTCAAACATGCTTCAACCATGTCAAAAACATGTTTGACACGTTTTAAACAAAAAACAGGTGCTACGCATTGTCAACACATCTTTAAGTCAATGATAGGACTGTTAAGCTGTGCCCATTGCCATGGCATCCACAAATCTATGGGGCCGCGGATCCAGAGGGTCCGGCTGGGGGTGGGGAACCTCCCTGGCTTGAAAAGTAGGTCGGAGTACGACGACCACGATTCGGAATCTGATCAATTGGACCCGCGAAAGCGGACAAGAATCAGGCAGCGGCAGGGTCGTGCAGTCTGCGAAGCTCTGAGGGAGCCCGCCGCAGGACACGAGCCCGCCACAGGCACACTTGTTATAGTCAAAGCAACGTGAATGGTTCGCGGGTGGGTCGCAGAATGGGTCGGGGGGTGGATCGCGGGGTGGTCGCGGAGTGGGTCGCAAGTGGGTCGCGGGCGTGTCGCGGGCGAGGGCGATGACAAAAACGCAACGCAACGCAAAAACAGCAATCCGCACCTCCGAGCCCCATGTCAGCCAAGCACACAGGGACAGTGGCTGACCATTCGGCCCGCTCATTCTGATGTATCAATATGTGTGTGTGTGAGTATCTACATGTGTATATATATATATAGATATACACGTATGTACGTCTATGAAACTGTATATATGTAGATACGGATGCGACCCGCTCATTCTGATGTATCATGTATTGTAGCCAGATTGTAAACATGTGGATCTCCATACAGTACGAGTGGCACGGGCGTGCCAAGGTCTTTACAGCAATCAGTTTGAGGCTAGCAGTGATGTTTCCACATCTTGGGCTTGGACGAATTGTGGGGAAACGCACTGGCGGGCATGCCGGATCAACAGTTAGCTGGCATGAAAAAATCCGAGCATTGCCGGGGAGCGGCACTGGAACCAGAGCGCGTTTTGATTTGTCACCTCGCCTGTTCAAAACCTCTGGGGTTCATAATGTTTTTGGCGGGTTTCTTATACGATGCCAGCGCTATCAAAAACAAATGAACACAACTCGGATGGCTTACGACCGTGTGCGAATGCAGTGCAATCCATTGTGTTCGTTCACAGGCTGATGTTAACCATGTTGCGTATCCGACCTGTTTTGGCAGCGCCATCGCAAGCGCGCACATTTGAGGTGCGTTGTGCGCGGGCACAGGTTTCGCGCCCGCGCCTGGCCTGAGCGCAGGCGGGCGAGCCGTGCGCGCAGGCCGCCTCCCGCTTTCCTGCGCCTCGCGGCGCGCACCCCAACGAGAAGGGCTCGCGCGCGCGCGAAAGGGAGGCGACGGCATGTGCACTGCTGCGCACGGCCCCGCGAAAAGGGCCCGCGCGCGCACGGGGCGACGGTTGTTCTTCTGCTTGCATTGCTTTGCGCATTCCATGCAGGCGCGCCGCGGGGATCCCGTCGGGGCGGATCGCGGCGCGCGTCGGGGTCGCGCGGGTTGCAGGCATTGGCGCTTGCATCCTGCAGGCATCGGCGTTCGCGCCCCGCCTTCGCGGACGGCGCGCTCGGTTCCGCGTGGCTGGCTGTCGTGTCGTTGCCGTTTGTCGTGGCTAGTTGGGTTGCCGTGTCGTGGCCGTCTGGCGCTGCTGGCTTCCTTGCTGTCTGGTTTTCGTGCCGTGGTCGTGTGGCTGGTCGTGTCGCGGCCGTCCGTCGGTCGCGTCGCGGGTGTCGCGTCGTGGCTGTCTACTTGTCGTGTCGTCGTTGTCTGGCTTGTCGTTCGCCGCCGCGCCCGCGCGTTGGTCGTTGTTCTCTGTTCCCCGTGCAGGTTCCATCCCCGCTCCCTCCTCTAGCAGACGCTGGCGTTTCCTACTATACCACGAAAGGTCCCCTCGTCTGCTTCACTGGTTCGAGGTCAGGACTTTTCTTTCGCTGTGGGCTGGAACCCGTTAAAAAAACCCAGGGCGATCACGGGCGTGACCGGCCCCGCCCTCCCCTGGTCACGTCGCGGCGGTCGTCCGGTGGCGACCGCGGACGTAGTATGGCGCTCAGAGGCCACCGTGGTGTTCAGAGGCATAAAGGTAATGGTAGTTGTCGTCCATCGTCTGGACGGTTTGGCCTGCTTCCTCACCAAAAGATGCGTTTGTCACTTTGTTTGAGTAGGCCGTTTCTTCGTCGTTGTATATATCATGTTCGTTTCGTTGCGAGCATTGCGTCGTATGGCCCTTGCTGGGGTTAGTGCGAGTGACCTACTGTTCATGTCCAAGCCACGTTACGACGATTGGCACCTATGCCGTTCGAGCAGCATGCCCGATTTCGACCACAATATATTACATAGTGTTATCATTACGTTTCTTTGCTGCTTGTCATAGCCCTTCATCTTGTTGTATTTCGTTATCTGCACACATATATGTATATGTATATGTATCTCTGTGTGTCTGTAGGTTTGTTTTTCTCTCTCTCTCTCTCTCCTTCTCACTCTCTTCCCCTTCTCTCTCTATGTCCTTCACCTCTATCTCTCTCTTACGAGTTCTCTCTTCGATCTACAGACATGTAGGTTTCCATGCGTATATATATATATATATATATGTATACACACACCTATTTCTCTCCATTTGTTTTGTTTCTCTCTCTCTCTCTTTCTCTATCAAGCCTCTTGTCCCTTCAGTCACTGTGTATCTTCTCATTCCTCCCGTTGCGTTTTCTCGCTCACACGCTGTCCCACATCACACTCAAGCGGCGCAGTCCTACATCCCTGCTCCTGCGCTTCTCCCACCTCCTGGATGGACCTCGTCATCATTGACATCACCCCCCTCCTCCTCGTCCCCAGCGGTTTCCACCTCCTCGTCCGCCCTTTCTTCCTTCTCCCATTCGCCCTCCACCCCCCGCCCAATCTCCCTCCATCCCCCCCTCCTGCTCCTCCTTTCCCTTCTGATTATCCTCCTCCTCCACCTCCTCCTCCATCTTCCTCCTCCCTCCTCCGCGTTTCTCCTCCAACCTCTCTCTTAACCCTCGTCCTCTCTTCTCTTTCCTCACTGTTCATTCTTTATTTCTCTCTGTCTCCCCCTCTCTCTCTCTCTCCTTCTCTCTCTTTCCGTATATATCTGTATATGTATATACATATGTATTGATATACGTATTATGTATCGGCCTCATTCTCTTTCTATCACCCTGCTTGTCTCACCCTCTTTCTCGCCCTGTCCCTTGTCCCTCACCAAGCAAGCAGATTCCACATCCTACCCTCCTTCCCCCCGTTTCGAGGCGACGTGAGTCTGCAGCCGCATGCGCCTGGCTTGAAGCGGGGGACGTCCTCACTCCCATCTGATCCCCCCCTGTTCCTTGTCATTGTTTCCATCGTCATCCTCTCCGCATCCTCCTTGTCATCAGTCTCTCCGTCCATCTGCCGCCTCCTGTCTATATCCTCCTCCTGCCCCTTCGGCCGTCTGCTTCCTCATCTTTCTCCTCTCGCCTCCCGCCCCGCTCTCCTCCACTCTCCTTCTCGTCCTCTTCAGTCCCCTCCCCACTCTCGCCGCTGCTGCTGCGCCGAGTGTGTCTGTGGAGGTTGACAGCGGTGGCAGTGACTGAGGCAGAGCGGCCATGTGCGTGGCATCGCAGCACGGTCCAGCACGTGAGGCCAGTGCTGTGCAGGCAGCCTTGGTCAAGCGACAGCTGGAGCATTTAGCAGCTGTTTGACCTCCTCTGCCTCCTTTTCCTTAGTACCCCGCGTTCACCTACCTCTGCTGAGTGGTTATATACGTGGGCACTTCCTGGGGCTAAAGGGGGCATGTTGTGTGCTGAACACGACTGGGTCAAGAGGAGGGGGCGATCGTGAGCCGTAATCTTTTTTTGAAGTTGCGGACAAGGAGATACATGATGTGGTCAACGAGGATGTCCAGACTATTAGAAAGAACATGCGGAATGTCCGACAACCTTCCTCAGGGCTCCCCACCCCTCGAGTTATGGCACGCCGTCGGGGTGGATCGTGCAGCTCGGACAAGACACCTGAGGTGAGAGCCTTCTGGTTGTCGTTGCACGTTGGCCTCACGAAGATGCGCCTTGCGAACGCCTCGCCTCCTGTGCTGTCACAGAAGTACGGGGACTTGGTTGCACAAGTCTCTCAAGCCCGTTGTCGGTAAAGCCTGGTGCGCCCATCGTTTCACTTCCTGCGCGTCTCTGGCTGATCATGGTATCGTCCGTGGTCGACGTCGTGAGAATGCCGTGCCCGTTGATGGCGTCGTGGAGCCGTCGTGTGGGCCCACCGTGCTCACGCTTTATGCCTCGAGGGTATGTCCAGCGCGTTCGCCAGCAGCAGTTGGGAATTGCTACTACGACTAAGCCACACAACAGTATCCTATTGGATCAAAGGTACGGACAAGCAGTGGCTCAGCTTCAGGCCAGGGATGGGGGAGACCCTGGACTTGAAGACCCACCTGGGAGGCCTCGTGTGGGACCCGTGCCGGTACTAGCCTGGAGTTTCGATCTTAGGACGGAAGACGCGTGTGCGAATGATGTCATAGTGGAGTGGGGCACGCATCATTATGATTTAAGCGTGTTCAGATATGCCAGCGACCTTAACAAGTTTTGCCTGGCGGACCCCTTCTCCACCTTCGACTCGTTTTTCGAAAAGCTGGTCAATAAGGCGGATGGTTCATTGTTTGGTCGTCTCGAGACGGGGCCACGGCCACAACAGAGCGAAACAGGAGTATTTATTTCACTTCGAGCTTAGACGACAGCTTCGGAGAACGTTTGAGGTAAACCCAGCTGCCGGGAACCCCTGCCCGGAATTCCAGGGGGTCTGGGTAGCAGACGGATGATGGGGGTCCCGGAAGAAGAGGCTACGCATTTAGGCCCGTACAGCACCATTTCATCATTTTCTAGGGGACAAGTTACAAGACGTATTTTTGTAGCTTGTGCATCGTTTCACAGTCTGGGTGCATACTGGAGCATTTCCGTTTCACTCAAATGGAAAAGGACGTTCTTGATAGGGTTCTAGCAGGGTGCCTTTACAGTGGTCTTGAGTGGTTCGTCCTGTCTCCTACCGATTACCGTCGACATGATAGTATAATGTCTGTTCTGCGCAGGATTGCGATAATTTATGGGGGCGGCGACGTTACGGACAGGACCGCCACCCAACAGCTTTGCAAGCATCGCGGTTCTGGCACGTTGGGAGCTACGAGGGCGCAAGAAGGAAATACAGATCCATAGGTTGCGTATGTACCAACCGTCGGCACATCATCCACAACATGAGTGCCAGGTACTATATTGATTTGAGTGGGATCGCGCCGGTCGATCGTGATCGGCCCCCACTGCTAGATGGTTGCACGTTCTCTCATTTCTTTGTGCGGGTCTTACAATTTCTGCGGCGGAGCAGCTGCAGGTGGGCATCTTGGACAATTCTGTGGGGCGTCTAGGGCACTGGGGGACAGTGATAGAGTGGAGGACTTGCATGTTGTATGCTCTAGTGAGTTGTGTGCTCGTCACTGTTCGGTTCCAGTGGCACCTCTTGACTGGGATCCTTCGACGTCACCGGTTGCAGAAACGGCTCCTTGTGATGAGGAGACATAGTTCTGTTGTTGGCGGAATGTGGGGGGATCGGATGCACCTCGTGAGACCAGGTGCACGCCACGGAGAATTATGATGAACCGTGCATGACATATGCAGAGTTGTCGTGAGATGTACAGGTTGTGATTCCCACCGACGTTCGGGCTAGCTGCCACCACTTTTTGCTTGTACAGCAAACGCAGCACTGCATATCCAAGGGCCGCTCACACGGGGACCCTGAATGTCTGCGGGGCCCTGCAGTCTTCGGGAGCGGCATCGGCCATTCTGGGGACCCCGACGCGGCACGCAATCGCTGAAGGGACCCAGCTCTCAGGCACGCGGACCCCTCCCCTCCCGACGACCCCGACTCCCACGACAAGACAACCCCCTGCTGCGTCCTCTGTCTGAAACCTTAGAGCCGGGTGCAAACACAATCGGTGTCTGCCGCAAGCTAGCATTGGCATGCGTAGGAATATTAGCTGCTGGGCGTGAGGGGTAAGCCCCTCTCGCTCGAAGCTCACGGCAACGCAGGCTGCTGGAGAAGGCCTTCGGAACGTGCCCAAAAAGCGACACCGCCGACACAAACAGCAACACACCAGCAGCAGCCAGGACACCGACCGCACCGATTCGATTCTGATCTGGTCCGCGAGCATCTTCTACCACGCCTTCTTTTTCTTGCGGTTCATACGCATATTGTTCCTTGCCGTCTTTGTGTACTGGTTCCTGCAGTATTTCGTCCACGATTTCTAGTCGCACGAGATGTGAGGCCACGGCCTCCTGCGCCATGCCGAAAAAGGGCACGGGCACATCAGTGTGCCCGACTCCGGCGCCTTCGCTTCGCTTCGCTTCGCTTCCTCCACCCACCTCCTCCTCCCCCCCGTCCCCCTCCCCCTCCTCCCTCTCCCCCTCCCCCTCCTCCTCCTCCTCCTCCTCCTCCCCTCCTCCTCTGCCTCCTCCCCTCCCCCTGCTCCCTCGTGGTGCCGATATGTTTCAAGGCTCCCCTGTGGGCATACAGGCTTGACCTTGACCTTCCTCTCTCTACCTGCCCCCCCCCTCCTGCTCCCCGGCGCGCCGCTTCCTGCCCTGACCGCTCTGCCGCAGGGCACGCCATGGCGCGTGGGCGTGGGCCAGCAAAGAGAGCGGCGCCCGTGCTCAAAATCCGAGCCCAGGCGGCGTGCGAGCCTTAAGTCGGGCATGTCCCTCTGCAAGAGGAAGATTATTCAAGAATCGTAGAACATAATCAGGTGACGATTCGTTCGTGCTATGTTGGCTATGTTTCATGTTGTTGCTGTTGTAGTTGTTGGTGTTGGTGTTGTTGTTGGTGGTGGTGGTGGTGGTGGTGTTTGTGTTGTTGGTGGTGTTGTTGTTGGTGTTGTTGTTGTTGTTGTTGCTGTTGTTGTTGTTGATGTTGATGTTTGAGTTTTCCCTCCAGATGCGCCTGTAGGAGGACATGCCCGACTTGATGCGAGTCCGTTCGGCTGCCGAGCTGACGCAGGATCGGGCACCTTTGCGTCGGTCGGCCCAGACCTCCAGCGGCACGGGGGGATCGCGTCGGAGGTCGCTCGTGATTTCTTCGACGTCTGGCGGCCATTTCTGGGCCTCGGGGCAATCGAACAACGACTCGGGACTCCAAGGCCATCGCAAGGAGGGGTCGGAAGCTTCAGGTCCTGGTTCGGAGATCCGAGCGGGCCCAGATTCCCAGAATGGAACTCTGTGGTTTGACTTGTGCCTCTCTCCATGAATCCCTTCCCGCCCCGCCTCCCCCCCATCTCTTCCCTCCCTTCCTGAACTGGCTCCCCTGGATCCCCCTCCCTTCCTCTCTTCCCCTCCCGCCCTCCCTCTCCATATCCGGGCTACTCGCTGCTTCACTCCCTCCATGCCCGCCTCCCACCTCGACGCAAAGCCCAGGGTCTTCAGCTTGGAAAGGGTTGCGTACATGGCGTCGTCACTCGCTTAGTCATCGCTTTCCTCACCCGTCTCTTGTGCTGCCCAGTCATCTCTCGAATCTACCCACCCCCGGCGGCCTACATCAGGAGCCGAACCTCCAGGTCAACGTAATGCGGCATCTGACACAGTTGAGGAGGGGTTATCGGGAGTTTGCAGAGGATGATCGGGCCTACAGCTTCGCCACCTGAGTATTGGATCATACGACACGCCGACTTGCCCAGCCACTCGAACTAAATGGGTTGAGCGAGTAGGTGGATGAGATTGCGACCCCAAGCTAGCGTGATGCCTTCTCTACCTTGTCCAGTACATGTCTTCAAGGAGCCAGGCGGCAGCGGATGTCTAACGTCGGGGTGGCATGATGCTTGAGTCTCGACTCGCCCGCTCATCTTTCATCTGTGCGCTGGCGCCGCCATCCGTATTCCTTTCCTGATGTTCGCAAGGCTGCCTTTCATCGGGTGCCCCTCATAGCTTCCCCTCTTCTTCGTCGTGAGCATCTCCGGCATCATCATAAACCTTACTCTCCCGCTGGCCACAAATGCCAATACTGTCAGCCACTCCTTCGACGTCTGGGTACCGTCGCCAAGTACATGGGCATGCGTGGGCTGAGGTGAGGCAATCATACACCTCCCTCCTCCGCCTCCTCATCCTCATCCTCGCGTCGTCGGATTTAAATGCGATCAATATCGGTTCCAAACCCCTCACAGTAACTACCTTGCCAAGGTTTTTTGTTGGAGGCTTGTCCGGTCGCCGCGGCGAGAACGTCTAGAGCGCTTCAATGCCTT